TGCTATTTTGTAAAATGTTGTCGGTCTGTTAGTATTTTCCTCCTTTTATTTCTAAAAAAAAAACAAAAACAAAGTAGCACTGAATTGTCTTTCTTCCTGCAGAATCTCTGGTGAGCTCTAGGAAATCACTAGCTACTTGTGAATCAAACATCCACAAGCAGTGTGCTGTGCACCAGCTACCTGGCTGCATGCGAGGGCTGGCACTGTGTACAGGAAGACGGAGGAAAGACGGCCACCACTAGCAGCTCGCAGTCTGCTCAGGCTGACACAAAGCAGAGGGACCTGTAGACAAAATATTCAACAAGATGCTACCCATGGTCTCAGACGACTCCCTCCACTCCTAAGAACCCTTTGGGAGAATTTCACTTCAATGTTCATCTCAATAAAAATAGACTGATTTTTTTCAATTAATCTTGGCTTGTAATACTTACATTCTAACTGAAGCCGTTCATAGTATGAATTTTTTTTTGTTTGTTTGTTTTTGTTTTTCTCCGGTACCAGGAACCAAACTCATGAACTTGCGCTTGCCAGGCAGGCGCTTTGCCGCTGAGCTAAATCCCCAGCCCCCATAGTCTGAATTATTGATCTAGGCAATATTTATGCATTTACTTCATTCAAATCTATTTTCTCAGTAATTATGTTCATATATAAATTTAAAATAGCCTTAATCTTGTGAAATATTTATTGATTTTCAAATTTATATATATATAAACAATAAAATTCATCATTTTCTTTCATTTACCAGATACTTTTCCTGTATGTTCTAACCAGAAACATTAGATAACTCATTTTAAAAATAGCAAGGCACTAGAAATCATTTCCATTGGAAGAAGTAATCTATAAAATATAATTTGGTGATGTGACATGTCCTATGGAATCTCTATTCCTATGGGATCCTGCATAACCTGATAATGCTAGCAGTATCCTGATAGATTACAAAATTGTAGTAAAGGGGCTGGGGATTTAGTTCAGCTGCGCAGCACCTGCCTGACAAGTGCAAGGTTGTGAGTTCAATTCCCGGTACCAGAAAAAAAAAAAAAAGAAAAACAGAAAAAAAAAAAAGACAGTATTATAGTAAAATATTAGGAGTACTGCTATAAGCATGCACTGAGTAATGTTTAAAGCCTTTTTTTTTTTTTTTTGGTTTTTCTCTGGTACTGGGAACTGTTTAAAGCCTTTTTATCATTTCAAGAAACTTATTTGCTATTAAGCAAGGTCAGCTATAAAATATACATTTGTTACAACTAGAAAAATCCTATAAGAATCATTTTACAGAGTTTTATGACATAAAAATCATTTGACCTGTTAAATATGATAGCTTGAATACATCTACTTATTTCTGCCTCATACGAAAATGCCACTAAAATGATAAAGAAATAAAAAAGAACATAAACCCATAAAGACAATGAGAACATGAAGAGTAAAACAGAATATTTTGTTAGTTCAAGTGTGGAGGCTACAGGTGAGGGTTTACCTACTCAGTTGTAGGCTAAGCAATGTGGGAAGGGATGCAGCTTGAAGGATCACCTCAACCTTCCACTAGCAAGTATATTTTAGGAACAGCACACGGCTTACGTGGGTAAGAATTTGCCATGAGTTGAGCTATTGCATACAAGAAGGCAAATAGTGGATGCCTTATGTCTTCTGAGAATGAGCAAGCTTCATTTCACAGGAAACTCTCAAAAGAGTTTACATGTTCTCTTAGCATGGGTAAGGAAATATTCTAAATCACACATCTCACAAGATTTCTGATCATATGAATATTTCAGACCTTATCGGACATATTCAGAGGAAAAGCCCTCCCTCTGGAAGGCATATAGGCGTGTTTACTGAAATGTCAAGGACAAGCTAACTTGAGAAGAAGCCCTATTTATTTGAGGAGAAGTAAGCAGGAAGACGTGGCTCCCAACTCAGCCAGTGTCCCCTACGCAGCTGTAGCGCTCTATGTCTTCACAACACGGCCACATCACGGTGACTCCCAAAGTTTTCATCTTCTGCCCTGTCATTTTGCCTGCACCACGGTGACTCCCAAAGTTTTCATCTTCTGCCCTGTCATTTTGCCTGCACCGTACACTCATTTACAACTACCACCACATATTTCCAACTCGGTAAATAATAAGGCTTTTGTAAATTAATGTTTCCAAATCAAACGTGAAGATATTCTATCTCTTCTTCCTTTCCATGTCTTTTACATCTCAGTGACTAGCCTACTTCCAGTTGCTCAGCTTAAAATCTTGAAGTCACCCTGAGCTCACTGGTCAGCCATGGGCCAGAATAAAAGTATGGGGACAAACTGCCAGCTCCACTATCCAACAAGCATACCCAGAGTCCATCCTTCCTCACCACATCAAAGGTCACCACCTCCATCCTCCCCTGCACACTCCAGCCCTGACGGACCTCCTCCTGGATATTTTTAGACACAAGTACACATTCTCTTACCCGAAGGTTTTTGACATTTTGCTTCTATGGCTGGAATACTCTTCCCTTTAGATGTTCCTATGTCTCATCTTCTCACGTCTTTTAGAGTTATACCTCAGTGTCAGTAAAGAGGGATTAGTAAAGAAAGACTTTAGCTGACGATGTTATATTTTAAGAAATAGCAAGCAAAATATAGTACCCAGTCATTCCTCGCAAAGTTCTCTCACATCTGATTATTTCCTATGCTTAAAGGATCATCCCTCTCCTTTGAAAATTTTAATATTAATTTTTACCTCCATTTTAATTCCATGACATTTAGAATGTCATGTCTATTGTACCCTCTTTGCTGAGGGGAAATTTCCAGTTTAACATTCTACCACATCTGTTTCATGATATAATTCTCCACCGATAAGGTCAGTTCCATAAGCAGGGTCCTGCCTGCACATGGCCTTCTAGAATATTTGTTGAAGGAATGAACACAGAAGAAAAGTGAGGAGATTACTCACATAACAGTGATGGTGGCCTAAATTGGAATACAGGGCAGAGTAGTCCTGGGATGATTTCTGCAATACAAAAATGGAAAGGATGAATAAGAGGAATCCTTCTACCCTACTTTATGACTTGGTTGCAGTTGTGGTGGTGTTAGAAAGAATTAGCAATAGAAATGCAGCAAAACAAAGCCAACAGCAACAACAAAAGGATCACAGAAAAAAAAAATCGTGCAGAAGAATGATTGCGCTCATGACACACGACGTGGAGTGCAGTTAACCGGTGTTTCACTGTCACAGAAACAGGAACGATAGGTACTGATTTCCCTAAAAAATGTGGTGTATAAACAGGGTGTGGAGAGCAGTACGTGTGTTACGACGTCTTTGGCTTCACATTTGGAATGAGTACGTGCTTAAAGTTTAAAACAATCAGGAAAGCAGATATATGTATTTTAAAAAACAGAAATATCTGGGCTTGAGGGCACACACCTGTAATCTCCACTTGGGATAACCATGAGTTCAAGGTCAGTCTGGACCACAGAGTAGGACCCTATCTCCAAAAACAAAAACAGCAACAGAAAAACCTACAGATAAATAAGAAAATAAAAAATTAAATATTGAGATTGCTTAACTCTCAATAAAATCGTATCTCAAGGGTAGGGAGAAAAACGTCTAAGAATTAATGTGACCAGAACTGTGGACAGAATTAAACTCGTGACCCAAGGTGCTATTGTATTCACTTTGAATTCAGCAACCTACTAAAACCTCCTCTGCATCCTAGTAGTTCACCTCTAACGTTTTCCCCTTGTGTGTTCATTCAGGTCATCTGCCAATGACGGCAGCTTTGTTTACTTTCTGCAGGCCAGAGGCCCTTGACTTTCTGTTCTAGTGCACTGGACCTCCATTCCGTGCGACACACGGTGACCACACCCCCAGTTCCGGTTTTATCCACACCCTGTGCTCGGGAAGGTTGTTCCCCTGGTCATCCTCTAGGAGCCAGGCAAGGGGAAAGGTTCAGTTCCAGCTCACCTGCCACCTTCACATTGGACAGGAGGACCAGTGTTTGCGATTAAAAGCTCCACCCTGGACATGCCTGAGCTTCCTTTTTCCATTTCTCCATTTAACTTTAGGTTCGTGTACTTAGATAATTGGCCCAAGCGTTTCTTACTTTACTGTCAGTTCCCTGATGCATTTAGTGAAATTTAATTGGCTGTGTTCACCAGAAATACTTGCTTATTTTGATTGGAGAGTCAACCTAGGTCTCTAACCTTCCATTTTACCAAAAACAGCCTGATAAATTTTAGAACAAAAATAAAAACAAGAAACAGACAAGGCTGCTGGTTCTTCAGACAAAGTACAAGCACTAATTTAAGTGTACTGTTTGAATTAAGGTCAGTTCCCTAAACAATTTTAAAAATTTTTTCAATGTAATAATACTGCGAGAATATTTTGGTTTTAGCTTTTGGTTTTTTTCACTCTTTCCAAAAAAAAAGCCATATATAACATCTTCTACAATAGCTAACAAAAATATGGGAACAAAGCAGATTACATTTGCTGCATCTTGAGGGTATTTCTCTTAATGAAAACTTGCATTTTTCAAGAACAATTATCCCCATGCCAACACATGTCCCACCGGTGAGCTACTCATCAAGTTGTGAATCAGAATCACCTAAACAAAGTTCTCATGATTGGCTGTCATGTATCAAAAATAAGGCAATGATGTCACAGCATTTATCAGAGAGATATTTTTTGTATTTTTGTTTTTATATCACTGAAGATTGAACCCAAGACCTTGTGCTTGTTAAGAAACCTCCTATCACTGGACAACATCCCCAAAACACCATTCCCTTCCTTTTGATTTTATTTTTATTAGTGTATTTATTTGAGACAGAGTCTCACTAATTTGCCCAGATGCCCTCGAATTTGTGATCCTCCTGCTTCAGCCTCAAAGTAGCTGAAACTGCAGGTGTACACTGCCATGCCAAACTTAATATTATTCTTTGATAGCCTGTTGGATTTCCTTTTCCAAAGTGAGAAATCAGAAGCCTCGAATGGATTTCTTAAGCCTGAGTCATCTGTAGGAAAACAGGTGCAACTCGTGACTGTAATGTTAAGTGAAATAAATCAGACACACAAGCTTAAATACTCCATGATTTCTTACATGAGCAATCCAAATAATAAATAAATTAAAGAGCAAAATAAAGATAGATAATAGGGAGTAAATAGAGAGATTTAACAAAATGGTCTAGGAGATGGAGGAGGGGAGGGCAGGAAAGGGAACATAGAAGAGTGAGGCGTTATCTGCACGCACCAGCCCCCCACCCGTACCAAGTGAATGCCATCATCGTGTACCACAGAGGTGGACTCATAAAAATTAAAAATATTAACCTTACAGGCATTTGCTGTTTTATTTTTAGAAGAGCCAATTGGCATTCATGGAATTTTATCTACTTTATATTGTTTATTCTATGGGTATGGCCTTCA